CAGAGATACAAGAGCTCAAGGAAATTTGGGCACGGCAAGACGATAGAAGGATATGAAACATGAGCTTGTAGAGATCAGAAAAGAAATGAAAGAGAAAAATAAAAGCCCCCCAATGGGGAGAATGCTGCTGAGTTTCCTGCTCTGTGCTACTCTCTGTAGGTACTATGTCGTGTTCCCTAACTATATTACAGGAAAGTGGGACTCTGACTGTACACGTTGGTGTCGCTTATCAGTCATCCTTATCTTTATGAAAACTACAACAAAGCATGGAAATAAATGAATTATGCATCCAGTTCAAGTCATAAACAGAACAAAGTCTAAGTAGAACAGAAAAAAGTTAATCAAAAGCAAAAGTTTATTTTAGACAACCAGAGTGGAACTAATATATAAATGCAAGAGTCAGTTCTTTGGGAAAAAATCCTAAATAAAAATAAACCGTTAGCAATATAATTATGGGAAAAAAGAATAAAAACACAAATACACCAGATACGAAACAACCTTGGGGATATAATTATAGAAACCAAGAAAATATAAAGAATCAAATGAGGGCCAGCCCCGTGGCTTAGCAGTTAAGTGCGCACACTCCGCTGCTGGCGGCCCGGGTTCGGATCCCAGGCGCGCACCGACACACCGCTTCTCTGGCCATGCTGAGGCTGTGTCCCACATACAGCAACTAGAAGGCTGTGCAACTATGACATGCAACTGTCTACTGGGGCTTTGGGGGAAAACAATAAATAAATAAGAATCAAATGAGATTACTTAATTGTATGCAAATACATTTGAAAACCTAGATGAAATGGATTTTTTTTTTTTCTGAAAGAATACAAATGATCAAAATGACCTCAAAAAGGATCCAGCAATCCCACTCCAAGGTATATACCCAAAGGAAATAAAATTAGTATCTCAAAGGATGTCTTTACTCCCGTCTCATTGCAGCATTATTCACAATAGTCAAGATATGGAAACAACCTAAGTGTCCACTGATGGATGAATGGATAAAGAAATGTGGCATATAGTCATGGATCACTTAACGATGGGGATATGTTCTTAGAAATTCGTCATTAGGCGATTTCGTTGTTGTGCAAACATCACAGAGTGTACTTACACAAACCTAGATGGTATAGCCTACTACACACCTAGGCTATATGATATTAGTCTTATGGGACCACCATTATATATGTGATCCATTGTTTATGGAAATGTTATTATGTGGTGCATGACTGTATATATATAATGGAAAATTATTCAGTCATAAAAAAAGAAGAAAATCCTGCCATTTGCAACAACATGGATAAACCTGGAGGACATTATGCTAACTGAAATAAGCCAGAGAGAGAAAGATAAATACTGTATGAGCTCACTTATATGTGGAACCTGAAAAAGAAAACGTCAAACTTACAGAAACAGAGAGTAGAATGTAGTTACCAAGGGCTGGGGAGTGGGGAGAAATGGGGAGATGTGGGTCTAAGGGTACAAACTTTCATTTATAAGATGAATAAGTTCTGGGGATCTAATGTACAGCATGGTGATTATAGTTAATAATACTATATTGTTTACTTGAAACTTGCTTAGAAATTAGATCTTAAGCATTCTCACCACACACAAAAAAAATGGTAACTATGTGAGGTGATGGATGTGTTAATCAACTTGATGGTGGTAATCATTTCACAATATATATGTATATTGAATCATCACATTGTATACTTTAAATATATACAATTTTATTTCTCCATTATACCTCAATAAAGCTGGAAAAAAAAGAAATATCTAAAGATTATGATAGGATAAGACAGAAACATAGCTACTGAGTTGAGAGTCAAGAATTACAGACACCAAAAGAGCTACACTGTCCATGAGAATGACAGAGTCCAGGTCTCACCAATTTGTCACTCTCCTCTTGTATTGATTGACCTTTGCCAAATCCAAGGAAAGAAATCATAGGGTTTTCTCCGAGTTAGCAGGAAGAATGAATAAGACACAAAGTGTCCAAAGCATAAGATGTGGACACTGCAGAAGGGCCTGAATATCAGGGTCCAGTGAGGGAGGACTGGAGGAAGCTGACCCAGAGGCAGACCAGAGAAAAGTCTGCATCCTAGAGCTACACACTCATTGTGAGACTTCTTTAAACACATTCCTTCTTTCTCCACCAGCTTTGACTACTCCATCCTTTTTCCTTTTTCCTTAACTAAGTCATACTTCACGCTGCTGGCACTTGTTAACTGTCTGGCCCTTCAGCTGAGTAACCTCCTCCGTGAGAACAGGAGCCACAGCTCTTTGGTCATCATTGTATATGCATTGTATGCTGGTCTTATATTGTGCCAGCCACTACATATTTGTTGAATGAATGACATTTGGAGCAGAAGCAGAGCAATAAGGACTATGGCTGCAGAGACATTGATTCCTGGCCCAAGAAAGAAGACGCGCATCATGGAAGTACAACAGCCCACTGGGAATGGGACAGCCCCTGCAGACTTAGAGCCACCGTGAGAATGTACCAGTCTTCCCGGGATACGGTAGAGAGTCTGCTGAGAGGCTGGAGGGACAAGATGGAGAGATCACCTACATCTCACAACGTGATATTTACTAGGGAAAAAAAGCATGGTTCCATGTCTTGCTTTTAAGAAGTCAACTTCACAAGCACAATCTGGAGATCTGGTGTAACCAAATATCACAAGTAAAGGCAAAAACCCCTGACTTCGAGATCTCGGTAAACAATAAGCTCAAAATGAGGGACAGATAGGATGTGACCACCAGCATTCTTATGTCGAAGTAGGCTGCACTGACAGGTTCTATGACCTTCACTGATGAAGGAAACAGGCTTGAGTCGCTCTGGGCTGTCAGACTGTTGAATGACTTTCCTTTCTGAGTGCTACACTTTGATAACTATGGAGTTACACTTGAACACATTCAGAAGAGAGGCCCCGGGATGATACAGATACTCAAACGTTAAGTTATGGGAGGAACAGTTAAAGGACCGGGGCTATTTTGTTTAGAGAAGAAAAGGCTCACAAGAGACATGATAGCGTCTTTGAGCATCTGAAGGGCTGTCAGAAGGAAGAGGCATTAGTCTAGTTCGGAATGACCTTGAGGGTAACAAGGACTAACAGGCAGAAGCTGCAGGCAGACAGATTCCAGCTCAGCACGGGTGAGAACTCTGGAGCCGCCAGAGCTGTGGAGGTGGAGACGGGAGAGCTGTCTCAGCAGTGAGGGAGCGGCCTGTAACTGGACGTCAGATGAGCTGACTGCTAAATCCTCTCCTAACACCGAGATCCTGGGAGCAACAGGCCTTTCCACTTCCCCATTCACTGAGATGATTCTCTAATCACTTGAGATCAGCTATGTGAAAGTGCTGTGAAAACTCTCAAGCGTTTTACATTTACAAGGTACTGCTACTGGTTCTTCTTCACTTTGGAGGACCTCAATTCTGTCCTGATTGCCATTTTCTCTACTTATCTCATCTCTCTTCAGCCTCACGGAGATTTCTAATTTATAAATTTAGTATTATGATGACTACTATTCCCTAAGATTTCAAATTTTCAAAATGCTTCACAAATAATAAATGGTTCTTCATTTTTCACTAGTGAGGGAAAGACCCTATATTTAGTATGCCAGTCATGGTCCTGATCCTATGGTGTAAAGGGACAGAGTAGCTAAGTTCTTACACATCACCTTACGGGGCAGAATTCATTAAAATCAATGGCATCTTCACAAAAAGCTGTATAAAGAAAGTCTCCACATTAATAAACAATAAACCAACAGGCACATTAATAAATGAACCTCAGAGTCTACTCTGATAGAATTTGACTTCTGCCTTTTATCAAGAGTGTCCTCTGGTGGCCCGTCAACTCTCAGGAAATGAGATTATCTGTTATTTGGTGGCACAGCTAACTTGTCGCAAGGTATTATGACTTGGAAAAATTAATTGTCAGATAAGTAAAATCCCAATACTATTTTGGGTTAAAATATTTTCTCTACCAAACTCCAATATCATCTTTAACAACTTGCCAACCTTGAAATATCATTTCTTTTCATTTTTCTCCGCCCTTCATGGGATTTCACAGAGAGGGACACAGACGAAGGCAAAAGCTGAGAGAAGACACTAGGACAACCAGGAAGAGAGCAGACTGGACAGAGACTCTCCTAAAAAGTAGTTAACTGAGTTACGAAGCGACTTCCACCAAAACATGTTCTCCAAATTGTTCATTTATGTATTTTATTCTCTGACTGACTTAAATCCAGAGCAGAAGAGGGATTCGAAGGTTGGAATTTATACAAGGCATTAGAGAGAAGGTAAGGCTCAGATAAGGAGAAATACAAAGAATTTTTGACAGACTTCTCTTTTGATGCTATGTATCATTGGGAAGGAAACATTTTTAAAAGAAGCTTTTAGTTTATACTCTGTATTCAGTCTAACACTTTTTGTGGTTTCTGTTCTGTTAGTGAGATTGAACTTTTAACGTAGGTTACTCTTCTTCACATGAAGTAGATGTGTGTGAAGAACAATCTCCTATACGTATATTGTGATTACAACTCGCTAATAGTGAGTATTCAGGGAAACCTGTACAAGTTTCTATTAAAAGTTAGTAGGAGGCAGGAATAAATGGGCTCACAAGTCACTGGCTAATCTCTTATGCACACCCCCAGCACTCCCCAATCCATCCCTGTGCAAAGCTTGCTAAAAAGGTAAGATAATGGGGCCTGTCTTCAGTGAACCATTTTATTGCATGGTTTGCCTCAGATTAATCTATGAACCCAAGCTCTGGATTGAACACTTGGACATGAGTAGACCTAACCGGCGCCTGCTACTGTTTGATAAATATTCATGACTTATCAGCATTAAGGAGGAAGAAACGCAAGTCCACCATTTTCAATGTGGTTGCACTCACACAGACACAAGTAAAATAAAGAAAGATATTCTTTTCATGGTGCAGAGGGTGGATCTTTCAGAAATACAGACTTCAACAATGACAAGTCCTCTGTTCCCCAAGGCTGGGACATACCTTGATTCCCATAGCTGGCATCGATTCCAGAGCCATCCCATGAGTCCACAGCACTGTCCACACTGGGCACGGTGGAGGAGTACACATCGCTGAGCGTGCCTGGCTTCTGTGCTGGGGAGGGGTCCTCTTCCACATCTCCCAGGTCACTCAGGTGGCTGGGAATGGGGAATTTCTTGGGACTTGATGCTGACTGAGCTTTAAAGACAGGAAAGGAGTTTAAGGATGAGAGCAAGTTTAAATAAAAAGATATTCAAACACTCGCTGGCTGGAGAGTCATTTCCCTAGAAATACACACATATAGGAAAAGAAATGCACTGGAAATGCTTGATTGTGGCTCTTGACCCACTCACCATCTGTCTGTTTCTTAATTTTCAAGGTGACAGTCTCTCCTGCCATCTGTAACAAATGGATGGCTTCACTCAGAGGCTTCCCTTTCAAGCTGCTGCTGTTGATGGCTAGGATTCGGTCTCCTATGTGGATCGCGCCAGTTCTGAAACACCAAACGATAATGGGAATGGTAGAAATAGTCCCTGCATGCTACTGAATATAAAGTCCCTGACATCCTTTATGTGTTCAGAATAATAAAGACTTGGCAAGGGTCTCTAGAAGCCACTTCTAGCTTTCTCCCGGGCAATGTTACCAGATAATTGCATCTGTTGTGAATTACTTTTTAGTTCCAAATAAAATTAGAAAAATTGTTTTAATTAGTATTTAAAATGGACTTGTGTGCTTTCTCAATTCCAAGAAAGCTGAGTCATTTGGTAACTCTCAAAAATCCTGAGGATCGAATTATAATGTTGTACACCTGAAACTTATACAATGTTATACACCAATTTTACCACAATTAAAAAAAAAAACCAAGGAAATGAACAATGTTGGACAATAAATGTAGCAATGTTTAGCGTGGAGCATTCCTTCTTTCTACAGATTGAAAATGTTGAACATAATCATTACCCCAGCTCTCGGGAAGTGAGGCTCAGAGGGACGGGGACAGACACCAGACCCCGGTGTGGCAGGGCCCCCTGCTGGTGATTCCAAGGATTGAAAAAGGCTGACTTCAGGAATCAGTTACTGCTACGTGTGAATCGACCTCTGCCACCTACCCGCTGTGTGACCTGCGCACCTTATCTTAACCTCTCTGGGTGCAGTCTCCTCACCACTACAACGGGATACTCATCCCACAGGGAAGCCTCAGGATTGAATAGGAACACATATGTGAAGGGCCTAGCATGCTGCTTGAAATGTGGAAAAAGACAATTAATTTATTGATCAATAAATTAACAAACCTTTGGCCTTTCCCCTTCTCTTCCTATCCTCACCCAATCCTGAATGAGCAGACTGGAATTTCTAATTCTGAGGAATTATCAGAATTAGATATCTTTATCTATCTTTGTCTGGAACCCTGGGTGGGGAAGGAGTAGATTCCTAACAGTTAAGCTCAGGAGTGGTCTCTCTCCACCCGATTGAAGGCTGTAGAGTAGGAATCCCATGTGCCAGCTCCCTGTTGCACTGGCTCACTTTAAATAGAGAGAGTGAATGAATTAGCCCAACTCTCAGGGCTGCTGTGACTGAGGGTTCTGACTGCAGCTTGCTTCTGGGGCAATGGGCAGCTGTGCTGGCAGCAGCCACTGGGGCAACAGGGTGACACTGGGTCACACAGGTTACGAGGGGCTGCTTAACAGTCCGCCAGTGCCTCTCCTCTCGTGGAATTTTTTTCCCCGAAAAAAAAAATCACTTCATTCTTTCATAAAGAATCTCCAGTTTATGAACGATCTATGTTGTAAGCCAGAGAACATGTGACCCGTACCTGCTGAACCAGATCAATATTAATCTTTTCTTGTTGTCTCCCTAACAGAGATAACTAGGACTGTCTCTCTAATAGAGAAACCCAGGACAGGAGGACGTCTGAAGGATAGCGGATCATAGGTGTCTCTGTTAATATCAGAACATGAAATTCCAACAGGGTAACCCTTTTTGAGCTGCCTCAGTGCCCTCACCTGACAGATGAAGATGCTGGGTGAGCTGATTTCTAAGGCACCTTGCGGCCCCCAAATCCTGCAATGCTACGTCTCTATTTTGCAAATCATTGCCTTCAAGTGTCAGCGTGAATGACGAGTGTGCATTCTTGAGCTAGGTTACTGGAGGAAAGATCTGGTTATGGGGTTTGGAATAAGCCCCACAACACGTCTCAGAAAGAAACACAGTTTAGAGGGGGAGGAGGAGTGTGTGTGCATCACTGCCAAAGGAACAAATGGGCATCCCAAGTTACGAGACATTATTAAGGTGGATCCCTACACTTTGTTTCCTGAAATCTTGGAAGACAAAACCTGTGTCATCCTCTCTTGAAAACACAGCTGCTAAACCCAGAACCTGTCAGGTAATAGGGGCTCAGTAAATATTTGCTGAATTGAATTCGACAAGCCTTTTAACCTCCCTGAACTTTAGTCTCCTCCTCAAAATGGACACAATATAAATCTACCTCCAGTCGATTGTGGTCAGTTTATACATTTCTGGAGACGAACATCAACGCTAAACCTATGACACCTTTCACCGCCCATAAGATGCCCCTCAAAGTCGAGCCGGAGCTCTGCCTGAGAGTTCTCAAGCTCTAAAACCAATCCTTCATGCAGACTTGAAAAAGTCAACAGATAACCAAGCAGGAGAGGGGAGCATGTTTTCATGTGGCTGTGAGGAAGGAAACTCATCTTGGACACAGGTAATTGTACCAGTTCCTTCAAATTTACCTTTCAGCTAATCCCCCTTTCGTGAGGCTGGAAATGATTATAGGATCAAACGGCTCTTCAGTTCCTGAAATTGTGATGCCAAGGGGCCCCCCATAGCGCTTAAGCTCCACGGTGTAAATAATTGCTCCGGAACTTTCTTGCTCATCTGCAATAAATGCCAAGGAGTCATAATTGATTTCTTCGGAAAAAGCACAGTAATAAGACACATATATTCACACGTAAGGGAAAAAATTCAAAACATCATCATCAAAGCATTTTGTGTCAGAAAATAATTATTTTGAGAAGTAGCGTTTCCTTAGAGAGATATTACAATCTAATACAGGGATGTAGTCATCAGCATCAGGGGAGTGGTCCACCGCCTAGTGACTTGTTTTAACCCTGTGAGCGATCCACCCAGTTGGCCCTGCAGCCCCTCTAGACTGCGTCCAGGCCTCGCACAAGCTTGCCCAGCATTTGGTAAGTGTGCCATAAATACCTGTGGAATGAACACATGGCTGAGGAGGCAATGTGGGAGGACAGAGTTGTGCAGTGACAAAGAGGTCGGGCCACATAACTCTTATTTTCAGGCTTTACAAGCAAGCTAAGTTGCAATATAAAAAAGTCGATTTGACTCAGGGTTGGAGCAAATGTTAACATGTAAATGGTTAAGTGGGGGCTTAGAGAGATTGGCTTGGAAATCTAGAATCTCCTACATATCATTCCACTGATTGTCTCTTAAAACATGAATCCTATTGACAAATTCATGGATGTGAAAGCAGAGGTTTGAGTGATTCTCTCTCCTCTGCTCTTGAGATCAAGAGCCACATTACGTTTTAGAAAGTAGCACATGCCAGGCTGCCACACTGTCATGAACTAATTTTCGCTATTTAACATTAGTACGAAGGAAAACACTTGTAAATGTGGTCCGCCCAAAGCATTGGCCTGAAAGATGTCATGGGACACCTTCAATATGGTTGGGCGTTTTGACTCTGTCAAGGTTGCAAATATGAAGTCGCAGAATTCAAGGAATTTTATTCACTTATGACAGGCTTAAAGCTTTTGAGCATTTCTTGTTTTATCCCCTGGGCTCGGAAGCTGTGAGTGGTTAAGGAGCTGTTTCATTTCTGTACCTAAAGATACAATGAAATGGTCCAGTAGCTACTTTAACAAAATAGCTTTACAGTCAGGCTGTATCATAGCGAGGCATTAATATAGTCACAATTCTGCAATGAGCTGCTGTTCATTTATGATATGAAACCCTAAAATAAGGAGGAAAAGAAAAGCTTGAATTAACAATTCAATTATCTGTGTGTGCAGTGAAGAATTACAATGAATATAAAATAAAGGTCTATAGAGTAACGTAGGAATTGATGGGTGCTCTCCTGCTTGCACTTACTTTACTTCCGGCCATAGATTGGGAAATCCGGAAGGTACCCATCACCTCCACTTCCTCAATGCTCTACTCCTAATATGCTCCATACTTAGAGAATTAAAGACCATCTACCACACACTGCCATGTTTAAATCAACATCTTAGAGTACACATATCTAATCTAAAATCTAATATAAAATACTAGACAAATTTATATTGGCGGCTCCACATCAAGCCTTCATTAGCTCTGTTTGATGGTTCATAAACTTCTTCCAGGTTTCTACTTAAATTGTGGCCAATAGGCTGGTGATGGTCTGCTAAGATACTGTTGAGAGAAGCGCCAGGAAGCACAGGGTACTCAAAAAAATGGAGGCAGAGGTCAAAAGTCTAAATTTTTCTATACTATGATATATCATCACCCTTCAGAACTGGCTTTGACATAAATGAATAGGGTATTATTGGGTATATTACATGTACTTTGCAGCCTGTGCCACCAACTATATTCTGGGTTAAAGTAGAGGTGAGTCATTTGGTTAGTAAACCCTGGCACAGTTAAATTTTAGTTACCACTGGGCACTCTGCTGGCCATTCATTGTGGGTGTGTATGCCAGTGGAGAGACCCTGACCCTTTATTGCTCTACCCTAGGGCAAGCATGACTGCAACCTTGTCAATGGGCACCAAGCATTCTGGATTTGGCATCAGCTCTTTATGGGAGTTGTAGGAAATGACAGCTGCCCAGCACCTGGGACCCAGGAACGTGTGGGAAGTTATGGTTGGGGACTTTAATCCTGATGAAAACAACCACTGGTCCATGGGAAGCTGAGTGTGAGTGCAGTCCTACTCACTGGGAGAAGGGGAAGAACCTGGTTCTAGTTAGCTCATTCTTCAGGCAACCCAGAGTGAGTGCCCTGTGTTATTTTTGGACAATTCTGCACCTTGTATCACAGAGATGACAAAATAACACCAGAGATGGAGTAAATGGGTTTAGGACAGTCAGTTAAAGGTCACCTTATGTGGGGACAATAGTGATGGAGATGCAAATTAAGAAGATGGTGGCATCTTAACAAAGAAGGACATGTTCCTGTGACCACATTGGGATGGAAGCAGGAAGAACTGATGTTGTGACATTCTTGTGACAGAACTAGAAGCTGATTTCTTATTTCTTCAACAAATTGTCAGAAATAAAAGCCATAAAAGGGAGATTTAAGTGACATTACAACCAAAAGCGATGAGTAGATCTTTCTGAATCCTAATTCAAACCAACTGTTTTTAAATTATCTCTCCATCCATCTATCTATCTATCTATCTATCTATCTATCTATCTATCTATCTATCTATCTACCTATGTATCATCTATCTATTTATCTATACGTGTATACGAAAATCATGGAAATAGGAACATTGAGTGAATATTTGATGATATTAAGAATTATTGCTCATTTTAAATGTGATGATATTTAGTTATATTTATAGTTATATTCTATATTTAGAATGCTTTTAAGAGAGTATTGTTTAGGGATACACTAATAATATTTACAAGATGGAATGATACAATGTCTGGAATTTCTTCAAAAGAATTCAGTGTGTGGGTAGGGTGGGGAAATTAGGGGGGAATATAGAGGAAGCAAGATCCGTCATAAGTTAATAATTGTTGATGCTAGGTGATGTATGATGGTTCATCACACCATTTTTCTCTATTTTTTAAATATCTTTGAAATTTTCATAATAAAATTTTTTAAAAGAAAAAGATATTAATTTCCTTAGAAAACCCGATGTGGATGCCTCGAGTAAACAGATATTTAATCCGTCTGGCTTCCTTACTTTCATAGATGGTGGTGGTGGTGGCTGCCCGCACACTGTCTCATCCAGACCCTTATGGCCCATCTGCCCACCCGGCAAGCTTCCCGGAGCATCCCACTGCCACCTGCCCCAGCAGAGGCCCCACCTCGTCTCTGCCCAGTTTTTCGTAGCAACGTTTCTTCCCAAATTGTGTTCCTGCGTGGAGTCCAGCTTTTGCCCCTCTGCCCCACATCTATTTTCACAGGGCTGCCAACATATGATTCCTTCTCTTTTTTCCCAGGGTATTTCTAAAGCATAAATCTGAATACGTTACTCTCCTACTTGAAGCTTCTCATTGGTTCCCCGATTCCTGGAGAACAAGATCAGCCTGTGTGCAGGAGCTGAGCTGCAGCCTCGGCGTCTCCAGGGCTCACACCATCCATTCCCATCCCAGCCCAGTCTCCTAACTTCTCTCCTCACTGAACCGCCTGCAGTTCCTTCAAAATCACTTTTCTAGGGGCCGGCCCCGTGGCGTAGCGGTTAAGTGCGCGCGCTCCGCTGCTGGCGGCCCAGGTTCAGATCCCAGGCGTGGACCGATGCACCGCTTGTCAGGCCATGCTGAGGCGGCGTCCCATATAAAGTAGAGGAAGATGGGTATGGATGTTAGCTCAGGGCCAGTCTTCCTCAGCAAAAAGAGGAGGATTGGCATGGATGTTAGCTCAGGGCTGATCTTCCTCCCAAACAAACAAACAAAAGCACTTTTCTAACTTCTTTAACCTTGTACTCCCTGTGCACAAACATCTTCTTCCCCTGGAGAGCTTCTACTCTTACTTTAAAACTAGCTCTGATGCCTTGTGTTTCAGGAAGCCTTCATGGCTCCTTAGCTGGGACCGGAGGCCTTTCCTAAGAGACCCTATAGCTCCTGTGTATTCTTCTAGTGTTTCTCAACTTCTTCTTCTTTTTTTTTGTGAGGAAGATTAGCCCTGACCTAACATCTGTTGCCAATCCTCCTCTTTGTGCTGAGGAAGATTGGCCCTGGGCTAATATCCATGCCTATCTTCCTCTATTTTATATGGGATGCTGCCACAGCATGGCTTGATAAGCGGTGTGTAGGTCCGCACCCAGGATCCGAACCTGCTAACCCCAGGCCACCAAGGTGGAGTGTGCGAACTTAACCACTATGCCACCAGGTAGCCCCTCAACTTCTTATTTTAATTCTTGCCCCCCTTCCCCGCCAAGGAGAAAAATTAAATTAAATTTAAATTCTCCCTTACAAAAGAAATTAAATAAGAAGGAATACGATTCAGCCGGGCAGCGTTGGGCTTTGGAGGGCCACACACCATTGTAATGTAACACCTAAGATTCTTTGCTCCCCGAGAACCAATTTTTGCCCCCATCTATAATGCATGTTCTAGCATATACTTTTCACTCTATGTTTTAATTCATTCTCTGTCTCCTCCATTAGATAGGAACACCTTGAAAACAAAAGATTTTTATCTTCTTATCCCCAAGGCCTAGAACTATCTCTGGCCCCAAGGAGACTTCAGCCAATGCCTGAACAAACCAGCAAAAGGATGAATGGATGTCGGCATGCGGCCATTGGTTCCGAGGGGAGAGGTCTCTAAGAGAACTTGTGAGTCACTGGCTCCGAGGGGAGAGGTTTCTAAGAGAACTTGTGAGTCACTGGCTCCGAGGGGAGAGGTCTCTAAGAGAACTTGTGAGTCACTGGCTCCGAGGGGAGAGGTCTCTAAGAGAGCTTGTGCATTGTTGGTTCCACGGCAAGAGGTTTCTAAGAAAGCTTGTGTGTCACCCTCCCTGCTACTCCAAGGTCTAGCTTCCTTCTCCAAGATGATGCAGACCCAAACTGGCTCATCCAAAGTGTGAGAATGAGACCTGGGCTGCCACCTTGGGAACCAGCAGAACTAGAGTTTCCTCCCCCCACGGTTCCAAGAGCATTTGCGTGGCTTCAGGCTGCATTTCCAATTCCGTCTGCCTTCTCGGGCTTTCGCCCAACT